CTTGCCATCTAGCCAGGAAACATCCAATTTTAAGAATGCAGTCTTTTCCACGGAGCAAGAAGTCAGTTAATTTATCCAAATTATTACATCTCAAAAGTCCTTCAATGTCACTCTCCATTAAGGCTTCTATTTTATCAACAATGAATTGCAGGCGTTCCATGTTATGTTGCAAGCCTGATCGGCAAGCTGACCTTGAAATGACAGCCACCTTTGCCGCACCCTCGAGTGTAAAGCGTGCTACATACGTTAGTTCCACGCCATACCTGAGGATTTCTTGGAGGTTTGTCTGAAGGGCTTTGTCCACAGTCTGGTTAACATATGAGTGAGAGGAGAGAATACTTTTGTACCTTCCAATAGTTTGCTCAACAAGTCGGAGCCTTTTCCTTTGACGAGACAGAGTCATACTGGAGCGAGCCTTCTTGTTTTCACGGTAGACAGTGAAGTATTTCGTAAAGTGATTGGTACCTGTGCTGTAATCTTCCAGCTCAATTTCTTTAGACTGTTCTTTCTGCTGACAGCCTTGCTTGTGGTTTGACATGGGTGTCAGGCATTCCCAGCAGAAAGCCGTCTGACACATTATGCAATACATGAAGCTGCAGCCTAGATGCTTCTCGATTGGATAATGGCAGTTAGGGCAATTTCTGACCATCACTGAGGTTATCATCTCTTCTTCGTACAGTTCCATCTCAATAAGATAATTCTTGCTGACTTCGTGGAATCTCTTATCAGCAGCGCAAGACGCAGGCCAATGGGCAGGTCTACGGCACTGAAAGCACCAAAGACTTCCACAACTACAGCCTACAGGCACCGGATTCGTTTTCATGGCAATGAAATCACAAGTTGCTGCTCTGACAGTGCGTGCACAGGCCTTGGATGGACAAAATTGAAACTCAAAATTTGCCAATCTGTCAAGTTTTCTGGAGATGTATTTGCTAAACCATGAAGGAATCAGAGCCATAATTGTGACTTCATCAAGGCTGACATCACACTCGTATCCAGGGCACTGAAGATCTGTGTTTCCAATGCTGATTTGCATCTTAAGGTGGGCTTCCCAGCATTCATTGCAGAATACGTGGCGGCAAACTCTTAGAGCTGTAAATGGAACTACTTGTTCATCTCCTGTTAAACAAATTACAGCATTATTTTAAAAACACATCAACCGATAATGATGATTATATAATAATTATTATAAAAATTTGAATAATAATGATAAACATAATCATCATCATCATCATCATCATCATCATTAAAACCACCTATAATAATAATAATAATAATAATAATAGTACTAATACTAATAATAATAATGGTTTATTAACAGTGAATCCACCTAGTGGCTCTTCACCTGTTAAAAACTTACAAAAGAAAATTGAATTGGAATCTACAATATAAAAAGCAAAAATATCGGACTATAAAAGGATATTGTATAAAAAATAAAAATGTTGTAAAGATTAGTAATAGTAATACAACCCTATATGCAATTTACAAACTATTTACAAATGTTATTTAATAGATAGGCATTAACTTCCCTACAGTAACTTCCCTACACCTCATTCAACACTGCTCTAAGCTCAACTTTCTTCACCCTTTGTTTAATATTAATGTAAATAATTTATAATAACAAAAATCAAAATTTAAAAATGGCCGCCAACTAACACATCAAATTTGGAGGCCCTTCAACATCCCAAGGCTTAATACCCAGACAAATGGGGTAAAAGAGGCGCATTATAAACAGGGATGTCGCCAAGAGCTGGCTGCTAGCTGATTTCAGCAGCTGGAAAAGAGCTTACGGCCAACTCGGATTGCTCTGGAAAACAAAGACATGAAGTAAATTATTTTGAAAGTGCAGTTATAAAAGCTGGCTTGACTAATGGAAAAAAAAGCCTGTTTAGCTGTTCCTTAGTTACATGTACATCCCTGAGTGTATAAAGAAAATGGTGCTAAACCATAAAACTTCATGCACATGTTTCACGATCTCACTTAAACAATTTTTTTTTAAATGGGCTCCCCTCTTCTTGCACGAGGGGGCTCCAAAGTCTCTCAAAGAACCCAGTGCTCAGCACACCTCCATTTAGACAGAAAGAAGTAACCAACTCCAAGCCCGACCCCTCCAATCAGTACCATCGCCTTCATTATTAATGTAAAACAATACAGGTAAGCATTCCACCTGATTCTATAATCTGAGTATCTGAATCTGCAATCAGGGAAGGTGATAGGGTGAATGTGCATGTGGCAAAAGTGAAAAAAACACCTTTTTACTTCTTGTAACTGCAGATGCAAATGCACACTCAGCTGACTTTTATACAATTATCGACTCCGCTAGAAAAGCTTATATTTTGTTTAGTTAAAAGGAAGCCACCTACATAATCCATCAGCACCCAGTGGTAAATGTGCAGTTGCAACATAAAATGGAAAAAAATATATTTCTTCCCTTTTCTGCAGTGACAATTTTCAATTATTGTAACTCTCAGACACATGCCTGTATGCTGGGGTAACTATGTGACATTATTTTCAATAAAATTTTAACTGAGATTGTAATCAAAATAATTTTAAGTTGTTGTCATGTTTTTGGATTGTTAGGTATATAGGCAGAAGATATTGGCATGGGTCATGAGGGGGAAAGGGGTGGGGGGGGGGGGGGGAAAGGGGGAGGGGGCCCAAAAAAAGGTTTAATCCCCAAAGTCCAACCCCCTACCCTTTTAACACCCCTTTTACCGGCCAAAAAATCAATTTTTCCCCCCCCCCCCTCCTCCCTGTCACCCACACCCCTCCCTCAAACACAACCTATT